CCCCCGAGGCCGACGCGACGCCGGGCAACCTCGACGAGCTCGAAAGTTCCTTCACGCAGTCGTTCCTGACGGGGAAGGTCCACCCCAAGCCGCCGTGGTATTTGTGCGCGCTCGAGCGGGACTGCCGCGAGCATCCTTACTACGTTCAATGGCTTGATACGCTCGAGTTGTTGCCGTCATTGGAGGAGCAGCTCGTGCGGTCGAGGGAGCGCGTGAGGAAGATCGCGGCGCAAGGCGGGAAATCGTGATGGGACACTTGGGAGTGGTGCGAGCTCTGCATCGAGCCTCTTTTCGCTTTTTAAAGGCGCAACAAGAGGGTCCTGTTATATGTATTTTGTGCGGGTTCGCGCATGGGGGCAGGGAACTCTGGATGCGATAGAAATCTATAAAACACTATAGCCGAATAAACACCTGGGTTTTACTTTATTACTTTGACAACTGACTGATCACAACAAGTTCCACAATGATAGAACATTCCTCCCTCTTTCTCCCCTCCCCCCCCTCCTTTAAAAAAAAAAATCCTACACACTTCTTGAACCATAAGAGATTTTTATCGGCTAATTCCAAGTTTCAAACAAACCTGTTTATTTTTATATCGATATCTTGATAAACTTATCATATTGTGAGAAGTTTTTGATTTTTATTTATACGAAAAAGCATAATTTTTAAATATTTTCTTACTATACCATGCGCCGTACGTTTAATGCACTGAGCCTTATGGCATTTCGGAGTGTTTGGTGTGCCAGCCAGGCGCTTGCGGCACCGCGTGCCCCTGGGGTAGCTTTGGTGCAATCTCGCACGGCGACGGGCCTATTTTCTAATTGGATCTCGACCCAACAGCGTTTTACCCATGATACGGCCCTGTCGGACGCCACGCGACGCGAGATGGAGGAGGAATTAAGCCGTAGCGGCAAGCCCGAGGAGCCCAAACCCCCGCTGGGTTGGCGCGTCGAGCACACTCCCGGCCGGCGCACCTTTGAGCTTTCCAAAAACTATGAGGATGAAAAGCTGTTGGTGTACTATTACCCTAAGGAGGATGGGGGCGACTCCAACAGTCACCAAATTATGGTCCAAGTCACTCGCAATAATCAGGCAATGCAGGTGGATCTTAGCATTGAAGAGGGGGAGCTGGTCTTGGACAATATCCGGTTTTATCCTAATTCAAAACTAGCCGAAGATGAGAGCGCAGAGGGAGAAATGAAGCGCAATCAGCTATACCCGGGTCCGAAACTCAGTGAGTTAGACGACGCGCTTGTGGACAGCTTTATTAGCTACCTGGACAAACGTGGGGTAAATGAGGAGCTGGGCGAGTTTGTCATCCTTTACAGTTTTTGGAGCGAACAGCAGGAGTATGAAAGATGGCTGAGCTCTATTAACAAGTTTGTGTCTTAACTTTTGTATAGTATACATACACGTTATGAAAAGCATTATTTGTCCAATAGTAGGGATGACTAAATCTTTTGAACACTAATTAAATAAGAGGAAAAGTACCTTTCCAAAATTATTTCACTTACATAACCGCTATTATTCGTAGTTCCTTCAGCATGTGAAGGCATCACTTATTTCAATGAAATACATTATTTTTAGGTTCTTAGAGAGGCTACTATTCACATAATTTTTGCTAATTCAATTTCATTTAAACTATTTAATGATGTTTTTTGTCACCTTCTTGATTTCTCTCCTTTTCCATATATAGATTCCGCATGTGGTCCTTGTCAAGGGTGTACTTCTTTATTGGATATACTTTATGGTTTAATTACCACAAATTCATGACATGAGTGTATATATCAGTGTTGTGAAAAGAAAGTCCCCTTCGTATAATAGGGAAAGAACGTAGAATCTCGTGTTTGTCTCTTGTTTCCTCCCATTTTGTGTGAAAGTCAAGAAAGATAAGAAGATACATACTATTTGGCTTAAAGTAAAAAGGTACAGACAAAAAAAAATGAATCTAAATTTAAGATGTGAACCCGTAAATTATGTATAACACTGGAAGTTGAAGTCATGCCACTGAGTTGGCTAATGAGATACCTTTTTCCTTTTTTTTCACTTATTCTACTATGTGACCAATAATGAAATGCTTTTATCTTATGTTTATTGTGTACACATGTGGATGTTGGGATGTTATTTTCACCCCACATTCTAAATGATATATGAACAAAACGGCATTAAAAGGTAATCTGGCTGACCACTTTTAAAATACGAGAAATCTTTAAGCGTACCCAAAAGGATATCTGCCCATAGCGATGACCCTATTGGGTGGTTTATTGTCCTTATTATTCAAATTTTCTCCTTACTTTGGTGATCTGATCTTTTGTACTATAATTTACTCAAAAAAATCCATCAAGAAACGTATTGTTATCAAGTAAAAAAGACACAACCCGAGCCTTTTGGATTTATTCCCCCTTAGTGTTTGTCATCATTTTGTATAGTTTTGTGAACCACTGCAATCGATATGCTTGACTACAAGGATTATGTAGGTGGGATTCCTCTTATTGTACATCTGAGTGAACAGGACATTCTTAGTCTAGTTCATCGACCGCTACCTTTGGTGTTTGTGCTGCCGCGAACTACTTTGCTGATCGCGATCCTACACGATGTATTAGAGTTTTTCGCACCTTATGGGGCGGTTCTGAACCAGTACACCACGCAGGTCTGGTTTTCTTATGAGTCCATGGTGGTGCCGTGGGGTTATCCGGTAGGCGCCGTTCGCGATTTTGTCCAGGAGCTTCAGGCGACCCGGCGACGCGGTGGATCGCCCGATCGAGTCCGATTCACCGATTCGACTTCTCTTCACGCCCTCACACATCGTAAACCGGATGGTGATGGGGGTGGCGATACCGCTGGCGCCCGCGACCGACAGCCGCTGGGGGTTTCTTTCTCCTCAGAGCCGCTGGAGCTTGAGTTTCGCATTTATCAGCCCTCTGGCTTCAAAACCATTGAGCGGTGTGCCCCTTTTCTGGTGAACTTTGACCGTTTAGATGACTACATTCGGAATGAGATCAAACAGCTACACAAAATGGCGTACTCCGCTATTTACGGGTCCTACAAACGCTACCTGAACGCACCGGAGTCCGTTTTACAGGTGGCGGTCAGTATGGCGCTTTACCGACCCTTTGAGGCGTCTTCCGGCTCGGACTTTTGCGATACCGCTTTAGCAGTGCCGCGGACTTTCTCGTCCGTCACCTCGTCCTACCTGCTCATGGAGTACCATGGGATGTTGAAGAGCGTCTCCCAGGGCCGGCGGTTGACCTACGTCGTCCAGCTCGGCTTTCCCTGGGCCTATCGCGGTGGGAAAAAGGGGCCGATTCTTCGATTTCACTACTACCCCGTGAATGCCGCCCCCCTGGCCGCGCGAGATCCGAGGTGGGGGGGGGTTCTTTCCTCCAATTCCGACGAAAAGGGCATCACCCCTAAAAGCTTAGATCGGGCCTCCTCGCATTCACCGGAGCCGGGGAGGTCGGGGCGCCAGGCGCCCCATGACCCCGACTGTCTTCTCCACGCGGACGACGAGGCGCTGACGCTTGGTTTGCTCCTCTGGCGGTTATTTTGTGCGCCATGTTTACGCTGGCGGCGGCTTTTTTCATTTCCTCTCTCTTCCCCCACCGGGTCAACCGGTGCATCGGTTTCTGCGGAGGGAGAGGAGGAGAACAACGACGTCTTTTTTCGTTCGATGGCGGTGTTTTACACCGACCCCCCGTCCTCTCCCACGACGAACTCGGAGCCGCCTGAGATGGTTTGTGAACCCGAACCCGAACCACAAACCACCCCCTGGGGGTTGTGGGAGGCCGCGATGTCTCGACGATTTATTGAAACCTACGAAGACAACGGTGGCGACCCGGTCGGGGAGTCGTTCGGGGCTGGGGCCATTTATGGTATTCCCATCGTACCTGACAAAAACGGACTCCCCAACCAAGACTCTGAACCAGAGCGGATGTTTTTTAAGATTCAAGGGGTCGTTCCCTCTTTGAGGACCCCAGCCAAATTTTTAGAGACTTACCTGACCTCATCAGACCGTTCTCTGTATGTCACGGTGGGCACACAGTAAAGTTTGGGAAGGTTTTCAACCAGAATGAGGGAACACCCGATACAAAATACATTTAGGACTGCTAATGAATCCTTTTGACCTTTAGGTTTGAGTTTTTACCGTATCTTTGTCCTGGGGTTATGTTAAATTTTGGATTCCTTTTCCCTCCCTTTTAATTATTTTTCTTATTTTTTTCATCCTAATCATTCGGTTTGTGAGTGAAAGAACCCCCACCTTACCTTTCTTTTTTTTTGTAGTACTTTAAACACCCAATCTGTTCATTTATTCTTCATGTTCACAAATGAATCAGAAGGACGCTATTAAAATGTACCTGGGCTTTCTCGAGGAACTCATTTCTCGCTATGAACGATCCTACTCCTCTCGAAATGACGATGTGGGTCTTGAGGTCCACACGCAAGATACGGATTCATCGGGCGGCCATCATTCGATATTGACGGGTGTGGAGAGTCCGCTGCTGTGTCGGGGCCACTTGAATGGGTTTTATGACTTTATTTTATTGGTCGTGGAGAAGAGCAACGACCCGGAATGGTGGAATGTCTGTGATTACGTCAATCTACTCTTCTCTCTTATTCTTGCTTCACCGTCGAGCGGCACCGCTGCGGAGGTGGTGGATTTGATTTTTCATTCAAATTTCACCACCCCGGACCCCACGAAGGATATTGAGAATACAACGCATTGCCCGTTCCCGGATGCGCCTGAGGAGTATGGCCGGCATACTTCCTCCTCCTCCTCCTCCATTTCCAACCCTTGCCCGCGCTATCGATCGCGCAAAAAACGACATCCCAACAAGTCCGACCTCTCCCACAAACTATGGCATGCGGTTCAAGGGCTCCTGGGCGCCCAGCAAAGCGTTAGGGGCGGGGGCTGCTTTCCCGGCCGACTTTTTTGCACCTTGATGGAGTGCGCGGCCCTACGTCTTATCGTGCAGGGGTGGTGCCTTCGTGAGGTTCGCATGGTCGCGACTTCGCCTTCTCAGGAAGGCGACCCAACTCGCCATGGGCCCTCGAATGGCGATCCCCAGGGCGCTAAACCGTCGGCAGTTCCATCCGCAAATGCGCTGAGGCTGCTCCCACGGCTCCGCCCCGGGCTTGTCAGCGTTGATTTTTTGCTCTGCGCGGAGTCGTGGAGGGCCATGCGGGCGGTTTTTCAGCCTGAGATCTCCCCCGAAACCCGGGTTCCGCTTGGGCTGAGTATCGATCCCCCTCACACGCCAACCCTGACGCCCAGTCTCGAGCTTGCGATGTCCAGTGTAGAATCGCAGGTGGGATTTGCCCACCAGCGTGATTTCTCGGCGGAGCTGCTGTGCTATTCTTTTCCCCATCTAGAGGACTTATTATCTTCGGCGTTGAGTTGCCGGTGCTACCTGGCGCGGCAGGAGGCTCTCCGCTTTATCAAGGACGTTATTTTCAATCCTAAATACCCCACCGCACGCGGATTATATCTTTCTTCTGCGGGGCTGTTGAGTGCAGTGTTGGGAACCATGAGTGAAAAGACCATGCTTTGTAGTGAGCTAACCTTTGCCATTATAAAGGAGTTTGCGGATACGCTGCCGCTTCCAGATACCGTGTGCGAGTTATTGATGCGGAGACGATCTGACATTCTTAACTTCGCGTATCAGTACTCTACTTTTCTAACCTGCAGTGGGGCCAATAAAGCACATAGTCAATATATTTTTGAATTTATAGAAGAGTTGCGAACATCTTTGGAGCCTTTTTCCTTTACAGGCTAACTAAACATCAGGGTGCGCATATATGATCCCTAAGAAAGAATGTGAAATACTCAAGCAATGATGAAAATACACAGCGAACGAACAATTCTCAGATGAATAAAAGAGAGTGCTATGTTTACCATTTTTTGAATAGTGTTTCTAAATACTGTAGCGAGAAAAGCGTGACTGGTCATCGTCTTTTTATTTAATCTGCTTGTTTTGGTGTACTAACAACCCTTTACTTCCAAAGTAGCCTTATCCAAAGGCTTGAAGGAATGTTCTTCTAATAACACTTTATGAACCTGTGGGCTGTCTGAACGGACACCCCAACCACTATCCTAAAACCGCTGATTCCTTTTCTACTTTCGCGACCTTGTCGCCGCTCCTTGAGTAATAGAGCTGCCCTCACACGTAATTTCCATTCTTCGGAAGCCTTCACAGGATTCCCACTAACAATCAAGATCCTCAAACGAAATACCCGAAGGGTAAAGACGAATAGGCCTGTTTATCTCACCTACCGTCCCCCCCCACAAAAATTGTTGTTGTCGTTTTGTTTGAATGCCCCTTTCCTGATAGGCGATGTCAACTTTTATGCATTTCATGCCGGAGCAGCTGAATTTGCCGAGTGCCATCCCGCTCGGCACCGGGACTATCTCCAACGTCCTCCACGCCACCCTCGCCCCGCCGTGGTGCTTTTCGGTGGCGGTTAAAATTTACTCCAAAATTCAGCTTCTTCAACTCCGTAAGGTGGAAAGCGTCCTTAACGAGAAAAAGGCCCTTCAACGGCTCAGCGCCCATCCCTACATTTGCCGTTTGTACGGGACGGCCCAGTCGGAGGATGAGCTTTACGCCGTGATGGAGCTGCTGCCGAATGGCGACCTCCTCCAGCACATCCGCCGCACCGCCACAAAGCGCGTGAGGGATTATACCAACGCCCAAAGAAACCTCGAAGCCCCGGACGGGGGGGCCGAACGCCGCGATTCCACCGATTCTACCCCCTCCGCCGCGTCGGACAGGGGGGGTTGGGGAGTGATTCCCGCCTCGAGTCGGACGCTGCGGTGCCTTGATTTTCCAGATCTCCAGCTCATCACAGCCCAGCTCATCCTTGGGCTCTCGCACGTCTTCGGGAATGGGTTGGTGCTGCGGGATCTGAAGCCCGAGAATGTGGTCTTCGACAGCAAATGGCGGGCCTGTTTGATCGACTTTGATACCGTCGACTTGAAGGGGAATTACGCGAAACCGCACACCAACCACGGCGTCGCTCTGCCGGAGAGGCGCACGAGCGTCAATTCCTCGACAGATAAGCCGAATGACCTCGCGGGGGTCGGGGCGAAACTCCCCAGGCGCTCCATTCGGGTCTCGGAAATTCAGGAAATGCGCAAGTGCACCGCCAGCTTTTGCGGGACCGCGCAGTATGTCTCGCCGGAGATGGTCTCCGAGTGCAAATGGAGTTTTAGCAGCGACTTGTGGGCCCTGGGGACGATTGTGTATGAGATGCTGTACGGGGTCCACATGTTCGCCGGGAAGACCTCCTTTGAGGTGATGAAAAAGGTCATCAAAGGCATCGCCGGTGGCGTAAATGATCAGGCCTCGGTGCCATTCCCAATTATCGATTTTGCGGAAAGCGGTGAGGAGGCCAGCCAAGGACTGGACGACGCCCCATCCTCTGCGTTTGCGCGCGTTAAGGATTTTATTCTACGCTTGGTCGATATCGACCCTTATCAACGATTGGGGGTGAATCCTGAGACCCACGAGTTTGATCTCGATGCCCTTAAAAGCCATGCCTTGTTTTGTGATTTCGACTGGTCCGTTGTGAACCACCAAATTCAGACTTTTAAGCCGAATCTGTTTACCATGAACCACGTCGAGGTCAATTCTGATCAAGCCTCGGCCCCGAAGATTTCAAATTCTGACTTGTCGCCGTCGCTCGAATCCTTCTACCACGAGGTACCGTATAATGATCAGCAGTATGTTGACTACGTTTATAATGTTTCTTCGGAGGCTAATCCCTTTGAACACTACCTCCAATGCATCGATTTAACCAGCAAAGCAGACGAAAACGTGAAGGGCGATGCCGATGGAATGATTTCCCACCCCAACGTTGAGTTTGAGGGCCCCCACACCTCAAGCAGCTCCAGGTCATCCCCCAACACCGATGTTGGGCAGGTGGTCAATCCATTCACCCCCGATCACATCCAAAACGGCGAGATCGTTGACAGTCTTTCAGCCGTTAAGCAGACTTCGTCTTCGCAGCGATCCAGCGAGGACTTTCATCGAAGTTCTTCAATCGACACCGATGATGAAAGTATCGAAATTATCGACGACGTCGGGGTGCGGTTCCACGCCATGACCTTCGACCCGGACTTTCGGCTCTGAGAGGTGGATCGAGGGAAGATTGGCGACGGTGGTGCCGTTTATTTTGTATGCACTTCTTTTTTTTTTCTTAGATGTATTTTTATTTATTGTATATACGCGAAGGGCTATGCAGAGTGGTGGAAAGTACGATTTTTTTTTTTAATCATGAGTAATATGTGTATAATAACTAACAGGGTGCTCAAACAGCAAGAAAGGAAAATTAGCCATTTCACAAATTCTAAACTATATTTTTCTGCAATAATGGTTATTTTCCTTACCATATTAAAGATTTTTGATGTGGACTCTACATACGCGCGCGTTTTGAGATTCTTCTTCGTTTATTTTTTTTAGTTGATCTTCCTTGGTTGCCTTTGATCTCATTTACACTGATAAGATGTGTGGCTCTTATCAGTTCATCTGTTCAAAAATATCAGAATATTGATATATATTTTTTGACCATACATTTTAACAAGAAGGGGGGAAGGGGAGGGAGGGAGAGGGTTTGAATATTATCCCTGATATTTTTTCCTGTGTATTAGGCCACTTTTTTTTATATCCCTTTTTTAATTTAAACTTAAACATTCCAATTACAGTTAAAAATCAAGATCTAAAATGAGGTGTGCGCAAGATTGGAAAGCGTTAAAGGTATTATTGTGATATCAAAAAGAATGGTGTAGTGTAGGACGCTTTAGTAAACAGTGGTAAGGGAGGTAGAGACATTTTGTTTTTTTCCATCTACTTAGCATCTGTGATGTTATCATATGTTGGGGTGCCATTATGAGCGCAATTCGAACTGCGATTGAAAGATGGGGATTGATCTGCTATTCTTTTTTATTTTCTTATCAGAAAGGGGGATGATTTCTTGACACTTTTATCTGAAATAACTTTTCTTTATTTGTTTCAATTCCTGGGTAGTTTCAGCTAAGAATATGTTTATAGGTATGCAGTTTTATTATTTAAATCAATGTTGTATTTCTTAAGTTAGTTTTCTATCTTTGCCAGTGCAGAGCTTATACAAGTTATACATTTTCTAAAACTTACTAGATTTGTTAATGCTTAAACTAGTTTCTAAAGCGGGAGATTTTTGTGAAAACGTTCGCCCAACTAAGGGAATCTGCAGTGTTCTTGGGAAGAAGGGCCCTTAAAACTTTGGTAGCCCCTTTTTCAAGCTGTTTAACGCTGAATATTGAATACTATTATGGCTACCTTAATGGAATCTCAAGAACAAATACTCTGAAAAGATATTGAGGTATTACGACGAACTGTTATTGTGATCTCTAGCATTCTTTTGAGTGAATCATCTTCTTTGGTGGTGTATCTTGGTTGAATTTAGCGATGGGTACATATGCGGTTGGGAAGGACCTTGAGTAACTAAAGGGTAATTGTTACCCCAATTTATCTGCATATACAAAATTCCACATTCGTGCCGAGATTGTAGTTTTTTTTACTTTCCCCTCTTTTCTTTTTTATGGACTTGTAATCTAATTTATACACGCTTGAATTTCTACCATGACGCAAAAATCCAAATGAAACACTCCCACCATAAAAACTATCCCAATTTTTGAGCATCCGCGTAGAGGGTGATAAAGTAAATTAATAAATTACAAAAAATGTAAATTACATAGTAAATAATGCTTGGTGAGTTATGAACAGATTTGGGGTATTTTTTTTGTCTTTTGTAGTAGAATTCAAGGGACTACTCATTGGTTATTCAACCTTATTTCTTTGGATGAGGGTTTTACCGTCCTCCATTTGTTGCTTCAGGGGTCAGATGAAGGTGAATAATGTAATGTTCCAACTTATACTGAAACAGCCTTCTTTTGCATCCGAAATGCAGTCAGAAATGTACAGAATTCACCTTTAAGTAATAAACTTATTAGCCTTCTTACGCTGTGCTGCTTTTTTTTCCCGATTATCCGATTTCTGTGAATCTTCTCCGGTTGGAGTAATTTCACGTGTGAGCATTTCTGTCCCACTTCTCCCCTTTTTGTTGAATCTCTTCCTAATATCGATTTTTGTATAATTACTGCGGTCGTATTTATGATATGCGCGCTTGTGATACCACCTGTATATATGATCATTTGGTTTATCGGTTTACCTTGCAACTCTCTATACTTTTCTGGTTACTGTTATTTGTATATAACTTTTATCTCCCTTAGAAAATCTCTTTTTTTCATTATTTTATCATCGATACAACGATCCAAAGTATTACCCAGCGGAGGGTGGAATAAAGATGATTGAGATTTCCGGGTTTGGCCACCTTCAAAGTGTGTTCAGCAATAATGCAAAGGTGTCTGTGATTTACTTCTACGCCACTTGGTGTGGCCCATGCCGTCAAATCAAGCCGGAATATCACAGAATGAAGCAGTACAACGACCCCGATAAGGTGGTTTTTTGTATGTGTGATGTGGACCGCAATCGGGACTGCGCCGCGCATTTTAATGTCACGGCGATGCCGACTTTTGTGGTTTGCCTTGGCGAGGAGACGATCACGACCGTCCGAGGCGGCGATCTGGACCAAGTTCAGCGAAGTATCGATATCGCCCTCACGCAGCTTCCCGTTCGCATGACGGACCCGATTCTCAACAAGGAGGAATGCCATAACGCCTTCGCGGAAAAGATGCTCGACATTCAAATCTCCTGTTGTATCGATGATATTGTCCAGGTGAGAGACTCCTGCGATGCGGCCTACAAAATGCTGATGGCGAATACCCCGGGATATTCTTCAGGGACTAAATTAATTCCGTATTTAGCGTCTAAGGCGTGTTCGACGGTGGCCTTGGATGCACTTTTCAAAAATATCGCGTCGCGCGCCCCACCGGAGTGCTATGATAGCAAATTTATCGTGAATCAGGTACTGCGTTATATTTTAGACATCGCCCTGCATATTACATGGGATTCTACCTTGGTTATCGAAGCTATTCATCAGGTGATTTATTCCCTCATCAAGTGCAGAAAGACGCGGGAGATCGTGGTGCGGAGCATGTTCTTTGACAACATGTTTATTCGTTCAGGGTTTGAACTGGAGCAATCGACAGTGCTGGGTGCATTGTTGGGCATTGGTCCAGTTTCGAGAGGGCATGGTATTTTGGTTTCTCAACTCAACATGTATATGTGGCAACATCTTATAAAGCTATTTAATCCACAGGAGAAAGAAAAACACCCTCAACATATTTATGAAATTCAGCAGATCATGGAGACGCTCGCACAATGGAATAGTCGCTTGGTTCAAACGCTCTTTCGAATTAAAGATACACGTGATGCGACGTTTAAATATTTTAATCGTGCTCTTAAGCTTAACGAGAATTATCAAAAAATCGCGCACCAGAATGACCCCCTTTCCTCTCGTTCTTTTATGGTTCAAATGCAGGCAGCTCTGATCGAGGTGGCACTTCCCATCTTCGGGGACAAAGAAAGGGAGTCAAGGACACCGTTCAGCATGATCCCGGCATCCTATCTGCTGGAGGATTTAGCGGTTCACGAAGTGGTCAGCTTTGGCGTGGAATCCGAGCGAGTAGCACACTTCGATGAGCACACAAATCCGCTTCCGTCAGTTTCCAACGGTGAAGGGACTTACAAAACCTTTATACATCTTTTTTTCTCCGCCTCTCGTATTCTCACCCTGTGCTCAGCAGTTTTTACCGATGAACACGATCTCGATGAGCGTAATGCCGGACATCCACAAGTTTCCCCTCATGAGCGCACCGCCTTGATTCTGGAAAAGTGCCTCTACGAGGGCCTTCTTGGGTCTCCAAAGTTGGGGGAAAGCCAGCTTCGCTACGTCAACGGCCTTGCAGGGTGGCTGCTGTTCATCATGGGCGCGGATAGTGATGGTCATCTTCCCGCGACCCCCCCTGTAGAGTGGAAGTACCTACCACAGCAGCTTGTGGACTGTGTTTTTCGCGCCACCAAAATGATACCGTTGTGCAGTTTGAATGTGGACAATATGATCTCACTCATGCTAATGCTGATGGGGAATACTCTTTACTTCCCTAAACCACACACGCATGCACTTTTTCCTTCCTTTTTGATAAAATTGTTTGAGAATCCGGAGACGCGGTCTGTGGTAGAGGGGCACCCGTGGTTCCACGAGCACATCATGCGCGCCTGCATGAATTGCTATATCGCGGTGGAGAAATTGACCTACGAAAAGGTTCAGGTTCGGTATGAGCTGTCTTATTGTCTGAAGATGTTCCTGGGGTCCGATAGCCTTTGCCAACCCCTGTACGACGAGTTCCAGCGTGAGGGGGCGATCCTGGAGCGATTTTCGCACATGGCCGTAGCTGAGGTCAATGAGTCGGTCGACCAACTCATCCAAAGCCTGACCCAGATGAACGCGATGCTGAAGAGCTCGACCGAGCCGTCCGACGAGTCCGCAGGGGCGTCGCACGGCGTCGCCGGGGTTCACTCCGACCCCGCCGTCCCCGACTCCGGCGAGCTCGAGCCCACCTCGGAGACCGGGATGACCTACTCCCAGATTGGCATCGGGCTTCGGTCGCACATCATGCTGTTTATCGCCTCCATCGACATGTTCATCCAGCTCGCCCTGCAGTTCCCTCGCGGGGTGAGCCAGAACCTCGTGGCGCAGCAGATCAGCCAGATGCTCGCCCGCAGCCTCGTCGTTTTTGCCGGCCCCAACAGCCGAAACCTCAAAATCCGCCACGCCGAGGCCTACCAGTTCCGGCCCCACGAGATCCTAAGCCGGCTCGTGGACTGCCTGACGCACTTCCGCCGCAGCCGGAGCTTCCTGAGCTGCCTCTGCCACTGTGGGATCCCCCTGGCGGACCTTCAGGGGGCCATCCAGACCATCCTCCAACGCGACCTCGTCTCGGAGGAGCTGAGCTGGAAGCTGGGGGAGATGGCCAGCGCGCTCGAGTCCTGCGCGAAGGGGGCGATCGATGAGGAGGCGCTCTGGGACGAGGCCCCGGACTTCGCTCTCGATGCGCTCCTCTCCACACCGCTTCTCAACCCCGTCGCGCTCCCGTCGGATGTGAAGGATTTGCAGGATTTGTTATATGTCAACAAGGAGACCATCCATCATCACCTTTTGTCAGAAAACAAGCACCCCTTTACAAAGGAGTATTTGGATGAGCCGATGGTTGAAACCTTTAATTCAAGGCCGGACGTTGTAAAAGCAAGAAACGAGCTGCAAAGTAAGATTATGGAGTGGTTAAAAGCAGCAAAAAAGGGGAGCGATAATGTTCCCCAGTAAGCAATCAGAAAAGGTTGGAGTGTGAATTCCAAGGATACTGCAGTCTATATATTGTACATATACATATACATTCATATATCGATATATCTATGTAGATATATATATGTATATGTATATAATGATGAATACAAAACTGAACTTAAGGAATGGGTATTATTTTTATTTATTATCATTACTTTAAATCAGTACCTTTTCTTTGAATTCTGTTTACTACTCCTTTTTTTTTGTCAAAAATGTAATAATTACTCTGTAGTTGAAGTTCCACCATGAAATTATTGCTTTCTCCTTTTTCTTATCGGTGGAAGTGAAATATTGATCTAGCAAATATTAAGGTTATTTTAATCGATAGTTTCAAATATTTTCTTTTGCTTTCTTTGCTTTTTTTTTGAGTAGATAACGAAACTTTAATTCTTTATACAATTTCCGCTGTCAAATTATGACTATCAGAAAACCCGATAAACTTAATTACCCTGATGATTTAAATCATCACGATACATCTGCAACTGAGGTACTCATCATCCCCGAAAGGGACGGGCTTCGACCATGGCATTACAACTTATTTACCTGCTGTTGGGAAGCTAACTCGTGTTTGGAGGCGAACTTTTGCTTTTATTGTCAACTCTCAAGGCAACACAATATGCTTTACAACTTGACACCTCAGATTGATATCCCTATGTGTGTTTTAACTGCCTTTCTAGATTACGCGACAATCTCATGCTTCTCGTTTTTTTTTCAATTTTCACTCAGAAGAAATATCCGTCAACGCTATGGTATCAAGGGTAATGTTCTCAAAGATTGCTTGTCTACCTATTTATGTGGACCTTGTGCCTTACAGCAACAGTTGTTAGAGATGACTTCGCAGGGATCCTTCCCTGGTGCAACGTTTTATAATTACACTAATATACCTTCGCAAGTGCACATGCTTTAGGGGTGAATGCCTTTTTCAATACTTTGCCCCTTCTAAAATTGATTCTATTTGCGTGAGGGATTTGACCTTTAGAAGAGTAGATTTTTTAAATCAACTTGTCTGAGTGGTTTTTTTTAGTTGTTCATTTTATTTTATACATTTGTCCAGGGTAAATATTTTGTTCAGACAATGACTCAATATCATAAGTATGTACCAAGTGGATGTATAAACCCTTATGTGAAATTTTGCTTGTAATAAGGATCCGATTTTTTTTTCAGTTGGCATTAAAGATGCTTGTTTTTTTTTTTGCTAAATTCATACTTTCTTATCCCGCTGATAATTTCTATGCCGAACTTCTCATTTTGTAGCAAATGGTCCTTTTGTGATTCCGTTCACCCTTGTCTGCGATGATGTGATGGGCGCGACGCGACCCTGTCGTTTTTCTTCCCTTCGTTCCCTATTTCCCCCTTTCCTTTCCTTTCCTCTTTCCCGGGAAGCATGCTCCGTTGCAGTCTTCTCCGGCTGGGGCGATGGGGCCCGCGGGACTTCCTGCGGGGCCGCACCAAGCGCGCCGGCGCCGTCCACACCCGCCCCACCCACGGCAGCCGCGGCCGTTATCCCCGCCACGCGGTCCGCTACACCCTGCGCGACGGCCGCCGCCACCCGTCGAACCACC